CACTGGAAAAAATCGCACGCTTAAAAGGTTGTAAATTTGATGTATATATGATGTAAGTGTCCAAAATGATGTAAATTTGATGTAAATCATTTCCATCAAATTTACATCATTTTGGACACTTACATCATATTTCCATCAAATTTACAACCTTTATGGCGCGCGATTTTTTCCAGTGATACGAGATCATATTTTAAGTTGCGCTCGACATAATTCGTCTAAAATTTTCACACACATTTTTAATACCACTAATAACAAGGTTCAGAAATATTTTAGAGAAAATAGGGCAGGTTTTCGAAATATTCAAGTTTAAGTGTTTTCCAGGATTTCCCCATAACTTGAATAAATTGTACTCGATTTTCATGAAATCTATATATAACATATTTTGGYCTTTTATCCTTCATTTGACAAAATATTGACCGGATCAAAGCAAAATAAACTGCATTTCGTGCGACCACTCTATCTGTTGTTTACATGACCTTTTAGGTCTAATTTGTCTCAATCGTAGAGAATTTTGCATATTTTGAACAAAACATTCATAAATGTATTTTCCGATTATTTTTTGTAACAATTTATTTGAAATTGGATTTATCATATAGTGAAACTTTTCGTCTTCAGTAAGAAACTCGATATTTTTCCTTGTAATAATATTTATCTTTTCAAATATTTCTTTTCTCTTTGTGGAGAAAAAGGAAYATCAGAGAAGAAAATGTTTCCCATCTTCACTTTCATTTTTGCAGAGAGGTTCAAAAGGTGCCAAAAATTCGTGCCATTTTAGCCTCCCCCCCCCCCCTAAAAAATCCTGGATCCGCCGCCCCTGATCATACACTGAAAGCATTGTGCGAACATTGGCGTGCCATTTAGACGCGGCTTATCTTGTACTTTGTGAAAAACCCTCATCTAAGGTCACTAGAAAAGCAATTTTGATGCACAAAGAAAGAAAGAAAGTCGCCCGCAGTCGTCCGCCATTTTTTTCACATTTTGTCAAACCTGCCAACTTCGTCTTTTGTTAAAACGTGAACTGTAATTGGCTGGTTGAAAAAGCCATTGAAATGTTTGAGGTAAGGAGAAACCTAGTTTTGATCATAATAATTATACTCGAATTCTAAAGTTTTTAAAGCCATATTTTCGGGCAGGTTGGGAGAATTCTCGATGGTTTGCATAACCGTCTCGAATTCTCCCAACCTACCCTCGTGTTTGCATCAGGCTATGTAAACACGGAAAAAGTTATCTATTACTTAATTCTACTTTAGCTAACTAATGTAACAAGTTTTCTTTTTTTTCTTATCGTCCTCGCTTCGAATAGTCCCAGACTGACTGCGAGGGCTGATTTACGTCGTAAAGCATCTCAGGCAGTATGATCTGACACAACATGAACTGTTTGTTCAATATCAAAASGACAACTTTAATTTTAAATAAAGTTGATATGTTACAAAATATCTTCAATTTTTTTCACTATCTCATGAACTATCATGTCAATTGTATTGTCAATATTGACAGTTACTGAATACCGTGAAGTCTCCAGTGGTTCTAGGATAGCTAACTGAGAGTCCAGTAAAGAAGGTGGCATGAAGTGACCTGTACGTTGTGACATTCGATCTTGTATTAGTTGTTTCGAACCTTGCAGAAGGACAACAAGATGATCAGCTGACCCAACGTTTGAACCCTGTTKGTGACAATTTTGTGGATCTTCGTTTGATTGTAAACCATGGAGAATAATTCTTCTGTATGATGACTTAAGAGCAGAGCAAGCCAAGACACCTGACCGAGAGCTACTTCTCCAACTGAGAATAAGAAACAAGTTTATTAGGATGTAAGCTTGGAAGTAAGTTTGAAAAATACGATGTTAACACGATAAGATACACCTGACAGCAAGAATATTGTCATGCATACATAGATATACATTGCATAACAAATCTATAATATCTTMTATTGTCTCTACTATTTCGGGGTTTGGAAACACCCTAAATGGGATCGAAAACAGTATATTACCGTGTAATGATATGTCATTGTTCACGTGACACTTGTCAAGTATAATGTGCCATGTTCAATGTTAAGCCCCTTAGTYATAATCTCTGAGGAGAGGGCAACACAGCTCCGGATTTTCTCCTCTCGTGTTGAAATTTTCACAAGCCATGCCTAATAACTACTCGTAAGTCTTGTAGGAAAGCGAAGATCGAATCGGAATCAGCATCACAACTACTAGCCAAGATGGATTTAAACGCCACACTATCTCCGCTAGCTCCGCCACTCCCATTGCCCACTACCCTGCGAGCAGAGTGTATTTCCTTACCTCAATAAAAATTCGCGAAGGAAAATAAAAATATAAATATTTTCCTTCGCGAATTTTTATTGAGGTAAGGAAATACACTCTGCTCGCAGGGTAATTGCCCACGAGGTCAACCCCAAKAATAATCAAGCTCCGACTACATCGAAAAACGAAAGGACAAGATTRTTGGAAGCCGAACGGGACAAATTAGCACTAGAACTTGAATTACTAAAGCTAAAGGCATGTTTGCCACATTCTGATCTTTATATTTATTATATTSTCATGAGTGACAATATTGCTGACAAATAATCCATACCCACAAGAACTTTCTGTCGCGTGCATTCGCTTGTAAGGGCAGCACACCCAATGCCATTTTCTGACAAGAAACTATGCAAACAGAACATATCTCGATAATATTGTATTTGGGAGTCCATTGTTAACTACGCCCCTACCTTTCAATAACTTCGTTCAAGGATAGCAGCCAAGGGATTCGGTCCTGCAATCATAAATACGCAAGTAGGAACATTTTTTGAAAGAAATTTATCATATGCACTTCAAAGATTTAGTACTTTAACTAGTATATATTACGACACTAAACATATTAAACAACAATGTCTAATGTATAGCTTTCACTAATTGGTGTCAATACGCTAACCTCATCTGATAGAGGAATTCCTTGTTCCATTTTCTTTATATTACCAGAAGAATGGAAATGATCAGCATCTTCAAATGACCATAACAACTGAGAGAGAAAGCTAATTTGAAATGCTAATTTTTGAGTAAATTGCTACGCTAATATTTTTAAATATTATTCTAGATTTTTAAGTCTTTTGAGATAGATCAAAGACAAATCCCACTCCCATTCAATGTTCTGTWCCCCATTCTCAGTAGGCAAAAATTCCAGTTCCCAGTGCATCCCATCCCATTTCCCAGTCCCATTTTACCCCTTCAGTACTCTCATATTTGTTTTTGAACCTTTGATGACAAGATATTTTTTTTCGTGAATTCAGGCTGTGGTTTCTTTTTGCATTTGCCCGACCCATTGGTTTACCTCAACTAATTGGTTTTGCATGATCRCCAAACAGATGATCACACTCGTCAGGCAAATACAAATAAACTCAAACGTTGTTGATAACTTAGTTCATAAATTTCTTAACGGGGCGTTTTCACTAGGTGGACTGGGGACCAATCTACAGTGATCGTAATATATCACACTGATTACATGTTTGGTTTACATTATCTAAAATATAAATGTTATAAAATGTTTCCTCGCTTTTTTCTCAAAATCGGCTAGAAGAATTTCCTTGGTTTTGTGATTAATCATTTTTTATACCCTACAGTTAAACGCATTAGTTTTGATTTTTCTAGGTGCCACCGAAATCAGCTGGAAATTAACTTTCTTTGAATTTCGTCTTCCTGTCATAAAACTCCTAATTACTCGGGGTTCCAAAGGAATCCCGAGTTTAAATTTCGGCTGTCTTTTTCGTCAAGGTCATATTTCGACCACAAATTGTCCTCGGCCAAACTAGAAGGAACTGGGTACGAATGTTATATTAGACCACATTTGACCACATGACATTTCACAACTTCCATGTGTGCTATCTTTATGGTGGCGAGTATGATAACGCGAGATGAAAGACATGGATTTTACTTCAAATACTCTCAAATCACTTACAAATAAACACCATTCGCGGTATAGTCACACTAAAAAAATGTCGAGCGTTTTTCGAAAGGACATTTGGAGAGATATTACGAATTTATCGTGAAACTTTAATATTATACAAAATACATGACTTACTTTACTTGCTAGTGCTTGTCCTGTTGACGTCCTGTGGACCAAAAAGGATTAATTACAAAAGATATGAATATTGGCAAACAATTCAATCTGTAGTTTGTAACTTGGTGGGACTATGTACTCAGGAAAGAGTTGGTACTGGATCAACAGGTTGATTAGAAGACCACCAAAAGCTTTTTTACACTTCTCTTGCAGCTTCCAACTCTAGGCTATACAATGTTAATCTAACTTTTATAGTAGAGTGGTTTTCATTAACCYGTGAAAGACACTTTAGCGTATTTATCACTATTATTAATTTGGCTCTTTTGTTTTTTGTTGTCTCTACGCGATTATTACGATCTATTACACTTCACTCATTTCTGAGTTAAGTGTAACACTACAAGAGGGGGACATTGGGGTTTGGGGGATTGCGGGATTGACCGTTTTTTCATGCAATATTGCGGTAATTTGGCAAAATAAATTCGATAATGCGGGATTTGTATTTTGWGCGATATGCGGTATTTGAAGTTTTAAGATGCGGTATTACGGGAAAAATCGCTTAAAATGGCGGTATTGCGAGAAAAATGATTCACAATCCATACAACCAATCACAGACCTTTCTATCATGTAATTTGACCTATATGACCTCTCTGGACTACCTGGTCATTCTCGTTAATCTTGGTGACATCGTTATCGTACTTACATACTCAAAAGTATGTCTGACAGCCTAGTAATTATAGAATGCGTGGCGTTCTTCTATGAAGAAGGAAAAGGAGGAAAACATTATAGAAAKAAAAAYAAATTCCGCTGTGAARTMGGAGCGGAGGAACGTAAAAGCGTAACAAAACTACGAGAAGCCATTCAGTAGGTTTATTAGCTTTATCACACTTATGTTTAAATTGCAMCGCCATATTCGTTTTTGCGGTATGCGGTATTTTCGATTTTTTCATGCGGTAATGCGGTATTCAGAGCCCCCCAATGTCCCCCTCCTACAACAATGTAAATTAYGTGAAAACATCCTACAAGGTTATGGAAAATCCAGATTATATTTACTATCGAAACAATGTGCCTTGTAACCTCATTATGTTGTCAGTCTTAGTTCAATTCCTATCGGACAGCTTAATGAAATATTCGAAATTATAGAAAGAACTGGCGAAGTGAARCCTAAGTAGTTACTCGTGCCAGGCCTCTGGCCGCACGAGTTGAAAAATGCAAACCGTTTTTCTACTACTTCCCGTCGACCACAATCCCATCATGCCTTTTACTTACCGCATGACCGAGCCTTTGATTAACAGGTCAGCAGTTATCTTTTCTAATCACAGTTTTCTTGTTTTTAYCACATTCTGAACGCCTGTATTGCAACGGCGAAAGCTAAAAAATATGGCCGAAAATATGGAGTTTTCGAACCATGGTGTGTACGATCGGAAAGGAAATCTGACGTTCTTCACTCGTCAGAATGTTGAGATTGTTGATAAATTGTATTTTGATGAGGAGATCTTAAACAACGAGGAAACTATTAACTTAGTAACAAAGTCGCTACCTCTTCACAATTTCGTGAATTTTGTAAGGGAACTGCCCTAATGTCCCAGCAGTAACTATTCGATTAAACAGTCGATAACGAAGAGACCATCTGATCTTGTTGTAAGTTTATTAAAATGTATGCAGCTTCACAGATAAAATTGGTTGCATGGCAAGTACATTACTTTTTTTGCTGTTCATCACTAGTTCAATTATTCACTCAAAGACTCTTGCCAACTCATTGTCAAGGCACGAGTCAACCCTGAAACCAGGGTCTCGTTGATTCATAAAATCTAAGCAAACACGTTGTTTAGAAATAAATGTCTTAGATTCCTATGAGAACTTTAAAACAGGTAACAGCGGCGTATTTTGTACGAAACAGATACCTTAGGTAATAGAAATAGAAAATAGAATTGTCKTATCTAAACAGCTCGATTGTCACARATTAAACTCAGAACTACACACGCACACTTGTGSTTTYATCCGCCATCTTTTATTTCCTGACCGCTGACCTGCATAAGTGCAGATACCCTGAAATCTACAAACTCAATACACTACATCCCTTCTTTGTTTTAACAAAAATGCATAACTAGAACAGACTTTTACAATTTCTTATAAACAGCTCACAGGAAAACATTTTCTTTTATGCAATGTTCCAATGAAGTCAATTATAGCAAGAGTTTCTAATAAACACAATCATTACAGTGTCCATGTATCCACATCAATCTAGAACAATGTTACAATCAAATGTTCACACATTATTGCTTCAATGTTGATTGTTCATGAGTAGAATGATSATATAACACAGTTCACGTTACAACAAAATCATCAAATTTCTTGGGCACCTTCCTGGTAAGGGTTGATCTTGACGCTGTAGTTGGCTGCTCTGCTGTCAACACTTTGTTCTGTACCTCAGTTGGTTGTTCACCATAGTCTGACGGTTGAGTAGAGTCCTCGCACTCAATCGCTGGTGTTTGGTATTTCTTCACATGTGTTAGATTCCTCTGGTATTGGACACCTTGCGGTGACTCAACTACCACACTGTTCTTGTCACTACTAACTACTTTGTAAGGTTCAGGCTCAAACCTTGTTGACAGCTTGTTTTCTTTGCTCTGTCTCATCAGAACTGCATCAACTGACACAAGTTCCGACTCCTCAGCATTTCTTCTCTTATCAGCATACAACTTTGCTTTCATTTTCATCTCAGAATCTTTGTCTTTAAACTCGTCATCTCTCACTCCTTCTTGCACATCAGGTAGCTTTGTTCTCACCTTCCTTTTGAATAGCAGCTCAGCARGGCTAACTCCTGTTGTCGTGTGTGGTGTAGCTCTGTACGCTGTAAGGTAAGTAGTACGCAGTTCCTTCAGCCAGTCTTTACCCTCAGCTTGTGCTATTTGCATCCGCTTCAACATTGACCTGTTTTGTCTTTCTATCTCTCCATTGGCCTGRGGCCACAACGGGGTTATCCTGCGGTGTTTTATACCATTGCTCTCCAAGTACTCGGCGAATATCTTTGAGACAAACTGGGGACCATTATCACTCGCTATGGACAAGGGGAGTCCATGCCTTGAAAACATTTCATCTAGACTTTCAACGATCTTGTCTGCAGTTGTTGTCTTCATTACACAAACTTCATAGAATCTGCTGTAGTAATCAATCACTGACAAAATATAATGTCCTGATGGTAGTGGACCTAGGAAGTCCAATGCAATGTCTTGCCAAGGTCCGCTTGGCAACTCAGTTGTCCTGATTGGCTCTGGGTGACTGGGTTGACTCACCAGCTGGCATCCATGGCACGTCTTGCAAAATTTCTCCATGTCACTCGTTATGCTTGGCCACCACACCTTTGTCCGTAATCTCTGCTTCATGCTGACAATTCCTGGGTGTCCTTCGTGGGCCAGAGACAATACTTGGGCTCTTAGTTTGCTTGGAATGACTATCCGTGTACCTCTTAAAAGTTTTCCGATCACACACARTTCACCGCTGGCTGGAATGTATGTCTTGCAGTCACTGCTTTGCCACTTTCCAGTCTCGAGTGCTTCRCGCAGTTTGCTTAGTTCCTCATCCCTGTCAGATGCCTCCTCTACTTCTCGTGTTGTGAGTGCTCTATGTGTTGCTGTTGTAGCGACGAACTTAACATACTCTTCAGCGATCCTTTGCTCCGGCGATACACTGCTCGTGTCTACTTGTGTGAGTCTCGACAGAACATCTGCAACATTCTGCTTACCAGGTATGTATTTGACTTTAAACTTGTAGGGTTGCAGCCTCAGCACCCAG